TGCGTCGACAACCTCTCCTTCAGTGGACACAACTGCTACAGATGTGACAACCGCAGCAGCACAGACATCTATTGCTGATGCCAGTACAGTTGCAGTCACAACAGCAGGTGCAGATACTACTACAGCTGAGGGAACAACTCCTTCAGTGGATGTGACAACTGCTGATATCACAACAATGACAGAGCAAACAACTACTGTTGAAGCCACAACGATGGCTGTAGATACCACTTTAGGTGAGGTAACAACCAGTCCTGCGGTTGATACGACTGTTGAGGATGCGGTTACAACAGGAGCACAGACATCTACTGTTGTAGCCACAACAATGTCAGCAGATACCACTTCAGCTGCGTCGACAACCTCTCCTTCAGTGGACACAACTGCTACAGATGTGACAACCGCAGCAGAACAGACATCTATTGCTGATGCCAGTACAGTTGCAGTCACAACAGCAGGTGCAGATACTACTACAGTTGAGGGAACAACTCCTTCAGTGGATGTGACAACTGCTGATATCACAACAATGACAGAGCAAACAACTACTGTTGAAGCGACAATGATGGCTGTAGATACCACTATAGCTGAGGTAACAACCAGTCCTGTGGTTGATACGACTGTTGAGGATGCGGTTACAACCGGAACACAGACATCTACTGTTCTAGCCACAACAGTGTCAGCAGATACCACTTCAGCTGCGTCGACAACCTCTCCTTCAGTGGACACAACTTCTACAGATGTGACAACCGCAGCAGAACAGACATCGATTGCTGATGCCAGTACAGTTGCAGTCACAACAGCAGGTGCAGATACTACTACAGCTGAGGGAACAACTCCTTCAGTGGATGTGACAACTGCTGATATCACAACACTGACAGAGCAAACAACTACTGTTGAAGCCACAACGATAGCTGTAGATACCACTATAGGTGAGGTAACAACCAGTCCTGCGGTTGATACGACTGTTGAGGATGCGGCTACAACAGGAGCACAGACATCTACTGTTGTAGCCACAACAATGTCAGCAGATACCACTTCAGCTGCGTCGACAACCTCTCCTTCAGTGGACACAACTGCTACAGATGTGACAACCGCAGCAGCACAGACATCTATTGCTGATGCCAGTACAGTTGCAGTCACAACAACAGGTGCAGATACTACTACAGTTGAGGGAACGACTCCTTCAGTGGATGTGACAACTGCTGATATCACAACAATGACAGAGCGAACAACTACTGTTGCAGCCTCAACGATGGCTGTAGATACCACTATAGGTGAGGTAACAATCAGTCCTGCGGTTGATACGACTGTTGAGGATGCAGTTACAACAGGAGCACAGACACCTACTGTTGTAGCCACAACAGTGTCAGCAGATACCACTACAGCTGCGTCGACAACCTCTCCTTCAGTGGATACAACTGCTGCAGATGTGACAACCGCAGCAGAACAGACATCTATTGCTGATGCCAGTACAGTTGCAGTCACAACAACAGGTGCAGATACTACTAGAGCTGAGGGAACGACTCCTTCAGTGGATGTGACAACTGCTGATATCATAACAATGACAGAGCAAACAACTACTGTTGAAGCGACGACGATGGCTGTAGATACCACTAAAGCTGAGGTAACAACCAGTCCTGTGGTTGATACGACTGTTGAGGATGCGGTTACAACAGGAGCACAGACATCTACTGTTGTAGCCACAACAGTGTCAGGAGATACCACTTCAGCTGCGTCGACAACCTCTCCTTCAGTGGACACAACTGCTACAGATGTGACAACAACAGCAGAACAGACATCTATTGCTGATGCCAGTACAGTTGCAGTCACAACAGCAGGTGCAGATACTACTACAGCTGAGGGAACAACTCCTTCAGTGGATGTGACAACTGCTGATATCACAACACTGACAGAGCAAACAACTACTGTTGAAGCCACAACGATGGCTGTAGATACCACTATAGGTGAGGTAACAACCAATCCTGCGGTTGATACGACTGTTGAGGATGCGGTTACAACATTACCTCAGACACCTACTGTTGTAGCCACAACAGTGTCTGCAGATACCACTACAGCTGCGTCGACAACCTCTCCTTCAGTGGAGACAACTGCTACAGATGTGACAACTGCAGCAGAACAGACGTCTATTGCTGATGCCAGTACAGTTGCAGTCACAACAGCAGGTGCAGTTATTACTACAGCTGAGGGAACAACTCCTTCAGTGGATGTGACAACTGCTGATATCACAACAATGACAGAGCAAACAACTACTGTTGAAGCCACAACGATGGCTGTAGATACCACTATAGGTGAGGTAACAACCAGTCCTGCGGTTGATACGACTGTTGAGGATGCGGTTACAACAGGAGCACAGAAACCAACTGTTGTAGCCACAACAGTGTCAGCAGATACCACTACAGCTGCATCGACAACCTCTCCTTCTGTGGACACAACTGCTACAGATGTGACAACTGCAGCAGAACAGACATCTATTGCTGATGCCAGTACAGTTGCAGTCACAACAGCTGGTGCAGATACTACTACGGCTGAGGGAACAACTCCTTCAGTGGATGTGACAACTGGTGATATCACAACAATGACAGAGCAAACATCTACTGTTGAAGCGATGACGATGGCTGTAGATACCACTAAAGGTGAGGTAACAACCAGTCCTGCGGTTGATACGACTGTTGAGGATGCAGTTACAACAGGAGCACAGACATCTACTGTTGTAGCCACAACAGTGTCAGCAGATACCACTAAAGCTGCGTCGACAACCTCTCCTTCAGTGGAGACAACTGCTACAGATGTGACAACTGCAGCAGAACAGACGTCTATTGCTGATGCCAGTACTGTTGCAGTCACAACAGCAGGTGCAGTTATTACTACAGCTGAGGGAACAACTCCTTCAGTGGATGTGACAACTGCTGATATCACAACAATGACAGAGCAAACAACTACTGTTGAAGCCACAACGATGGCTGTAGATACCACTATAGGTGAGGTAACAACCAGTCCTGTGGTTGATACGACTGTTGAGGATGCGGTTACAACAGGAGCACAGAAACCAACTGTTGTAGCCACAACAGTGTCAGCAGATACCACTACAGCTGCATCGACAACCTCTCCTTCTGTGGACACAACTGCTACAGATGTGACAACTGCAGCAGAACAGACATCTATTGCTGATGCCAGTACAGTTGCAGTCACAACAGCTGGTGCAGATACTACTACGGCTGAGGGAACAACTCCTTCAGTGGATGTGACAACTGCTGATATCACAACAATGACAGAGCAAACAACTACTGTTGAAGCGACGACGATGGCTGTAGATACCACTAAAGCTGAGGTAACAACCAGTCCTGTGGTTGATACGACTGTTGAGGATGCGGTTACAACAGGAGCACAGACATCTACTGTTGTAGCCACAACAGTGTCAGCAGATACCACTTCAGCTGCGTCGACAACGTCTCCTTCAGTGGACACAACCGCTACAGATGTGACAACCGCAGCACAACAGACATCTATCGCTGATGCCAGTACAGTTGCAGTCACAACAGCAGGTGCAGATACTACTACAGCTGAGGGAACAATTCCTTCAGTGGATGTGACAACTGCTGATATCACAACACTGACAGAGCAAACAACTACTGTTGAAGCCACAACGATGGCTGTAGATACCACTATAGGTGAGGTAACAACCAGTCCTGCGGTTGATACGACTGTTGAGGATGCAGTTACAACAGGAGCACAGACATCTACTGTTGTAGCCACAACAGTGTCAGCAGATACCACTACAGCTGCGTCGACAACCTCTCCTTCAGTGGAGACAACTGCTACAGATGTGACAACTGCAGCAGCACAGACATCTATTGCTGATGCCAGTACAGTTGCAGTCACAACAGCAGGTGCAGATACTACTACAGCTGAGGGAACAACTCCTTCAGTGGATGTGACAACTGCTGATATCACAGCAATGACAGAGCAAACAACTACTGTTGAAGCCACAATGATGGCTGTAGATACCACTATAGCTGAGGTAACAACCAGTCCTGTGGTTGATACGACTGTTGAGGATGCAGTTACAACAGGAGCACAGACACCTACTGTTGTAGCCACAACAGTGTCAGCAGATACCACTACAGCTGCGTCGACAACCTCTCCTTCAGTGGAGACAACTGCTACAGATGTGACAACTGCAGCAGCACAGACATCTATTGCTGATGCCAGTACAGTTGCAGTCACAACAGCAGGTGCAGTTATTACTACAGCTGAGGGAATAACTCCTTCAGTGGATGTGACAACTGCTGATATCACAACAATGACAGAGCAAACAACTACTGTTGAAGCCACAATGATGGCTGTAGATACCACTATAGCTGAGGTAACAACCAGTCCTGTGGTTGATACGACTGTTGAGGATGCAGTTACAACAGGAGCACAGACACCTACTGTTGTAGCCACAACAGTGTCAGCAGATACCACTACAGCTGCGTCGACAACCTCTGCTTCAGTGGACACAACTGCTGCAGACGTGACAACTGCAGCAGAACAGACATCTATTGCTGATGCCAGTACAGTTACAGTCACAACAGCAGGTGCAGATACTACTACAGCTGAGGTAACAACTCCTTCAGTGGATGTGACAACTGCTGATATCACAACAATGACAGAGCAAACAACTATTGTTGAAGCGACAACGATGGCTGTAGATACCACTAAAGCTGAGGTAACAACCAGTCCTGTGGTTGATACGACTGTTGAGGATGTGGTTACAACAGGAGCACAGACATCTACTGTTGTAGCCACAACAATGTCAGCAGATACCACTACAGCTGTGGCAACAACCTCTCCTTCAGTGGACACAACTGCTACAAATGTGACAACTGCAGCAGAACAGACATCTATTGCTGATGCCACTACAGTTGCAGTCACAACTGAGGGATCAGCTGAGGGAACAACCCCTTCAATGGATTTGTCAACTGTTGATATGATAACCACTGCAGAGAAAACAACCACTGTTGAAGCAATTACAACAGTTTCCACAACAACAATGGCTGTTGATACCACTAAAGAGAATGTAACAACTACTCCTGTTGTGGATACAACTTCTGCTGGTTTGGAAACCACATCAGCACAGACAAATAGTGTTGTAGCCACTGCTACAGTTCGAGCCACAACAATGACAGCAGAGGTAACAACTAGTTCTTTAGTGGAAACAACTACTGCAGATGTAACCACAGCAGAACAGACAAATAGGGTTGAAGTCACTACTACAGTCGGAGTTACAACAACTAAAATTGAACCAGCAAGCACTGCCTCAGGTGTTTTCAGTACCTCAGGTTTGTGAATTTTAATTTTTTTTGTTAAAATTTTGTTGTTTGAGTGTCAGGTCTATTTGCAGTCATTATGCTTGAGAAAAGTTTGCTTTGTGGGTAAATTTTGTCTGTAATGGTTTAATTTTCACTATAACAAACACAACATGCAGGCTAGAGTGGTAAGTCATGAAGAACTTTCACTATTCAGCACAAACTGTATCTATGAGTTATTGAACTGAAATGAATTTCAATGAACCTGTATGGAGAACCATTCTGGGGACATATGAAAATCCTAATATAAGCACAACTAGTTTATCTTGGAATGGCATTTCACCTTTTCACATCTCATTAATATTTTAACTGGTTCCCCCTTGTAAAAAAAAATTCACATTTTTCATTTATACAATAATAATAATAATAAAATAATAGTGGGTATTTATAAAGCGCACGCATCCAACAGGACTGGTGCTCAAGGTGCTGCATCATCATTACCCCTGCTCACTGGACCCATGAAACATTCCAAATACCATCTCAGCTCCCTGGGGTGTATATAGCTGGATGCTGCCAGTTAGGCGCAAGGAAACTAATTCAATCACAATAACCATCTCTGCCCACTTGACTAGATCCAATACACGACAGGCTAATTTTTATGTTTTAAATTAGGGTTTAATAAAGTAGGCTTTTATTGAAGTTGTAGTTTGTGTTATCAACTGAGGAAATCATCAACTTAACAGAGATGCCACTTCTCCGGTTTTAACCAGAATTCCGTTTTTCTTTTAACATCTCACAAAATTCTGGTTTTTCTGGCTGTCAAAATAAACCTTTTTCTTTCAACTGTCTGTCAAAATAAACCGGAAAAAGAAGAAAAACTGTGGAAATGCATTGATTTTTACCTCGTTAGCGCTCTTGATTTAGTACATTTAGCCGCACGCACGGCACAACGTTGTTCGTTGAAGTAGTCTTAAAAATAGTCTTTATTATTGCCGAGCCTCCATGCGATACAGGCGGCCAACGTAGGTCATGTAAACAAGGTTTTCTTTTTAACGTTTTTGTGTGTTTTTTTAAATTGGTATAATTTAGGAACTATTTTTTATTTTAAAGCTCGAGGAACAGATCAATTTCCATTGTGATTTTTTTGTTAACATTACTTTTTAAATTTGGCAGATGGCAATCTCCTGCCAGAATGCTTTCAAAATCAAAACATAACTTCAATTTTCTCTTTTTATACAAAATATTTAATGGAAATATTGTTGGACTTTGATTGTCAAATATACAAGACCAAACCATGACTATCAAAATGTTGTTTAGAGCACCAGTATTTGGATACATATTCTGTGTTTGTGCATTCTCTGTGCGGGTAAGTTTTTCATCAAAAGGAAGTCAGGATGATAAATGAATAAGGTAGTTGAAAGAAAAAGTTTTATGCTGAGGCACTTTCAAAATTTGTCAATCGTTAATTGTCTTTTGGGACCAAGGCACATTATTTTTTCCTGTGGGGTAATTCAATTGGGCTGTTGCCTTTCAAGAGGGCTTACTTTATTGAGAGCATTTCAAATTAACTGCTGGTCATTGACTTTGTCCAATTAAGACTCAGTTTTCAAATTAAAATGCTTTTGCACTACAACAGGTGCAGATACCACCACAGCTGAGGTAACAACTAGTCCTGTTGTGGATACAACTACCGAAGATGTGACAACCAGAGCAACACAAACAACTAGTCCTGCAGAAACTACAATTGAACCAGCAACCACAGTCTCGGGTGTTTTCAGCACCTCAGGTTTGTCACTTTTAATTTTTTTCAAGTGAAATATTTTTGTTTTTCTTCAACTTCAATGTTTTCTTTGCATTCATTGCACTCCAGAAAAGATCGCTCTATGCTTTCTCTCAAATGATTTAATTTTCACTTTAACAAACACAAAGGATTGTCATGCAGGTCAGAGTACATACAATAATACATTTCATTGATATATTTGATTAAATATATTATTCATTGAGGAGGATCACTTTTCAAGACACACCATATCTATCAGCATTGCCAAGTCCGCAGCTGAAAGAATTTCAGAACTGAATTGAAAATTATCTCAAAAGCCTGCATGAAGAATCTTTTTGGAGACACTTGACAATTCTGTTCTTGTTCTTAAGTTTTTCTTGTCTGCTCATTGTTTGCTTATGACCCTCAAATTCTGGGACTTATACTAATACAAACACACACACACAATGGTGCGTGTTAACACTTTACCTGTTCGCATCTCATTTTTATTTGCACTGGTTTTCCACTTTATGCACTGGTTTTCCACCTTGCACACTAGAAAAAAAGATAATACATGTATTGAAGCTTTTTGCAGTGTCACTATTTGTGAAAGGTTTTATTTCTTTGAGCATCTTTCATCGAGAGTTTTGGCAAAAACTTTCCAGATTTGTACAGCCCTTGCTTCAGTTTGTTTCAGCGTCAATGGAAAGCAAAGGAAAAAAAACACCCAAAGATTTAGACTTGGCTTTACAAGCATGCTGCAATCAAGGTTTTGTATTTTGCCATTGAATTTTTATCTATCTGAAAATAATTAGCTAAACAGGTTTGATTAGAAGAGAACCCATTTTCAATGCATGTTGGTGAATTGTTTGGAAAGTCAGGCAGTATAATGAAGTACAGATGCTTGAGGAATTAATTCACGTGATTACCCTCTAGACCTGCTTGTTGCATATATGCACATTTTATGTTTGGTTTTATCTGTTTTAAGTCTATTCCCGCACATCGTGTACATCATTTGTGTTAGCACTTCAGTGTGTAGGTTGAAATTATGTCTCCAGTCTAGATCCATTAGATGATAGGCTAATTTTTTACTTTTTAGGGTTAGTTTGGAGTAGTCCTAGAAATTAAAGTAGGGTTTAGTGAGGTTGTAGTTTGCTCGTATGGTGTTGTACTGCACAGAGTGGCGAAATGCTTTTGTAGCACGTTTTGATTTTTTCTTTACATATATGTATTTTCAATTGAGTACATCATCCACTTAAAAATATAATGTTTTTGTGCACTTATCAGGATGAGGTATTATTCTCCATCCTTGTTTTTATTGGCACTGATCATTTAAGGTTTTTATTTTGTTCCTGAAATATTGAGATAAACCACGATTGGGTCACTCCGTGTAATATCAGCACACCTTCCATGGTCAGTCCCACGGAATATCTTTTAATTTGCTGAAATTGTTACGCCATCTGAGAAAACTCCAAATTCCAAAATGTGAATGTTTGGGTCATGTGGTTTGTGAGTTGCTGGTCGTTAAACTTTTGAACTATACTGTACATCTGTATCTCTGGGTAGGAATGTGGGATAAAACTTGGGAATGTGGGAGAATTTTTATATTAAATTATAGCTCTTAACATAAGAAATTATCTACTTTACAGATGAAAAACAAATTGAAATTTCAGTGTGAGGTGATGCAAAATAAACATCGACATTTGACCCCATGGAACTGTAAAACCACATTTTCAAAATCAATAAAAGGCCTCATATTACCTAATAATTTCAGCAAAGATGAAGAAAATCTGTGAGATTGACTGAGAAAGGTGTGTTGATTTGACCTATTGACCCTATTTAAAACCAAACTACTTGACTAATAACATCAGCTTTTTTTTGGTAACCCTTAAATTCATTCGTTTTTAATTGGCATTATGTTAATGCAAAGGTTGGGGGTTTGTTGCTGATTTTTTGATCCATGGTTCCAGTAATGCGCCTATTAATTGTTTCCCCCTACCCCCACCCCCATTTAATGTATGAACAGCTTATGGAAACTCATGTGAAAAATAATAACATTGTGATATTTAGCCCAGAAGAAAAATGGGGAAAAAACAAGGTGTCTGTAAATTGGGCTAAAAAGTAGGCGAATGGTTGCCTAACGTGGGAGACTTGAACAAGTTCAAGGAAATTCCCCAAATTGTTGGTGAGAAAATTTGTTAATTTAGACGTTATTATTGTAAACAACAATAATCTCTTCTTTTGGGGATTTCCTTGAACTGTTCAAGTCCCCAAAGTTTGGCAACCCTGGGCCTAATTTTAAGCCCAATTTACGGACATGGGGGCTAAATATCAAGATGTTATAATTGTTCACATCATTTCCCAATTTTGTAAGCTGTGGCAGGAGCTACTACAAGTCACCTTGGTCGGTCGGTGGCCGAAAACGTGACCAAAAATATTGTACAAAAATTGCGCAAATGTTAGACCTGTAAACGTTGCGTCAATAACAACCACGTGTCATTGCGCCACGTTTACCGGTCTAACCCTCTGCATAGGCGTAGCTGGGGGGGGGGGGGGGGATTTTATAAAGACTGCCTTTTTCCATTCAAATGCCCTTTTTTGAAAGGGGACTACCCCCCCCCCAATAATTTGTAAAGCATGCCCTTTTTTTTACGAAGTGCCCTTTTTCTGTGAACAAGTGCCCTTTTCAAAAAAGAAGTGGTGGGTTTTTTTTTTGGCATCTGCCGTTTTGGTTGCCGTTTTCAGAATTTCGCCCATGTATCGCCCAGAAAAGCACCATATATTGGCCCTTCGTGTGCATAATTGTCGGTTTTGAACAGCGCCCCTATCGACAGATGGTACCAGCCCCCCCCCCTCCCAATTTTTAATTTTACGGAGACCAAGTGTCCGGAGAAAATAAACCTGTCTACATTTCACAACGGATGTGCAAGTGCCCTTTTCAAAAATTTAACCCCCCCAATAAAAATGACCGTGCTACGCCCCTGCTCTGTATATCTTTGTATGTTCTACATAGTACCCAAATTCAGCATGTGCGAGCAGCCACAAATAGCACCCATTAAGATATCTCCTAGTAAGAAGTCCTTTTCTCAAAACAGTTTTCGGTTTTTCTCCTAGAACAGTTATTTTAAAGTGGGATACTAATTTTACATCTGTAAAGTTCTTTTTCTTTCTGAATTAAGGCTCTGGAGGGATTTTGTTGGCAAGACAGCAACAGCTTATTATGCGCTCGCACATTTGTTGTTAAGTTTTGCCAGTTAAAGTTACTTTGTGAATTTGAACCTCATCAATGCTGACGTTTAGCGAGACCACTTAATGATATCTAAGGAAAAGGTAAATGCATGCAACTTTAGGGTATAATGGTAGCCATTGTGGATCTTTATTATGTCCTCAAGAACCCCCCCCCTCCCAAAAACAAAATCAAACACATGTATTGGTAGCAATAGTTATGTCAATGTCAAAATGTCTTTTTTTCCATTAATTTTCTTTCAAATAATTTGTGGAATTTCCTTGATTTTTTCAAGTCTCCCACGTTAGGCAACCCTCACTAATTAGGCCAATTAAAAGTCACCTCGTTTTTTTCACGTTTTTTGTTTGCTGAGCTAAATGGCACAATGTTATCATTGCTCGCATGATTTTCCATAAGATTTTAATAGGGTAATTGTGCCAGTAAGCAACTTGGTGAATTTGAAGCTCATCAATACTGAAGTTTGGCAAGATTGCTGGAAGATATCTGGAGACAAGGTAAATGCGTGCAGCATTTGGGTATAATAATAGCCATTGTGGATTGTTACTATGTCCTCTTAATTATTCAGTCACTTATATGCTTTAGAAAGTGTAATAGAAGTAAGGATGGGTTAGTAGAATCACCAAAATAAAATTTTTAAACAATACAAAATAGAAAATACATGTTTACCCAAATATGGGGGAAAATATATGACACGGCAAGTATTAACGATTTATGCAGATTAGGTATATTAAGGGTCAAAATTAACGATGGCATCCGTCCACATCTTGTTTGTTATGGTTCAAAGAATAGATCTAGCATGGATGCCAGCTATTAACAAAAAAATGCTGTGGAATTATTGTCTAGATGACTTTTCCACATTTAGTTGGCCTACTATCATATACCACCTGACTAATGACAGTAATTGCAGTTTTGCTGCTAGCAGCTAATAAAAGAAAAGGAAGAAACAGAGGACAGAACTTGTTATTGTCTCTTGCTGTATCCCCCACAAAAAAATTGTTATGGATGTTGGAAATTGAAACTCTTCAAAATGAATTCAGTAACAGAAACAAATTCTGTCAAAGTTATTAACATGTATACTTTGCGTCATTTTTTATAAAGCACATAACATATCAGTGGAACAAACCAAGATTTTACCTTCATTGAATGGTACATTTGGCAAACATTTTGGTCATTTTTTTACATACTTGTCTTGTTCAGATTTTGATGAAATTTGGCTATTTTTCTAAATATTTTGGAAAGAAATTACCAAATGACAATTTTTTTTCATGGCTTCAAAGTTGCGAAACAACAGGCTGTTTCTGAAGCCGATTTGACTATCCAACGTCGTTACAAAGTGTGGCTGGTACGTGAAATTGCCGACTGTGGTGGTATGTTATGGTAACACGTGATATAATTGTCAAGCTAATAAGCGAGGCCGTAAATGTCAGTGGTCCTATTTTTCCTTTGATAAAACAATTTCAGTGTTACCAATCAAGGAAATATTTATAATCAATTTCTAAAATTGATCTTTTGCAATTGCATAAAAAAAAAAAATAATTAAAAAAAAAACCAGTGCTTGGAATGTTGTTTGGGGTGTAATTATAATTGTTTTTAATTATTATTTCTTTCCATTTGTGGCAGTATCGGGGTGCTATATTGGGCGGGGAGGAGTCGAGGGTGGTTTTCATACCCCGGGACCATTCTTGTTTCCAAACATAAATAATAATAATAATAATAATAATAATTTGGGAGGCTAATCATCCTTACTCGCAGCTGGTATGCTGAATTGCGAAGGACGCGGCTACAACGTGGTCGGGCCGCTGGCACGTAAAGGCGCCTATGGCTGCCGGCCACATCGACCCATATATGACCACGGAGCACAGCCTGAGATCGAAAGTGTATTTTTCCGGAGGGAGGAAAACCGGAGGGCCCGGAGAAAAACCCTCGTGGCACAGGAGAGAACCAACGCACAACTCTACTCACATGTGATCCGCGGCCAGGATTCGAACCGTGGTCACCTTGGTGAGAGGCGAGCGCTTGACGCACAAGCCACCCATGCCACAAAACATGTGCTCCCCCTGTGTAAAACTATAAAAAAAAAAATGCCTGTTCTGGACTCACTCTCAGTGCTAAGATTTGTTGTAAAAGGTTTTAGCAATATGCTCCAGAGAAAGCTGTGGAAAAATGGGACTTTATACCTTTTTTTTTTTTAAATCACAGTGCCATCTGTATGGTCTTTTCATGGGATAATCGATATATCACATATTGTTGATATTGGATTTCCTATATATCAATTATTTGACAATTCTGATATCAACGGTGCTTGCTTTAACCAAGGACCAATAAACTTTCCAGGGCAATCACTCTAAAAGGTGACATGAGGATCACAATCGAGCTGTCACGCTCATAATCTTCCCAACCCAACGCTGCAAACAACAAGCCCCCACACAAGGTCTTGGACTCTTGCTTTACTAGTTCGCGCCAGGATTATTTTGACATTGATCAGACCCGTGCGCGGGATTGTTTTTCACGAACTTCGATGCCAGATGGGTTCAGGTCATCATCTGTGGGTATCAGGTACACCCTGATATTTCCGGCCTCACTTGCTGTGAGCGGGTCGCAGACAGATAATTCCGGCCTCGCTCGTTCGGAATTCTGCAAAACCTTTGCGTGTATTCACGTCATCCGATGTCAACTGGTTAACCCAGCTCTACACTACTACAACTCTAAGTCGTCCTAAGACTACAATTCAATCCACCTCATTTATCAGACAAGAGAAGTGCTAATCTTGTTATCGATGCTCCGTGGCTGCGCAGCACTGTCAGAAGGTCGGAAGGAACTTGCATAAGTTATACAGTACAACAGATTTACATGATTCATTCAGCAAAGTCAATTTATCCAAATATAATGGAACGCAAAATCAATATAATTGAAAAGTTTGGTGAACATTTTGTTTGTACGATGTAATGCATGCATGGCCAGAGAAACAGTACTGCATGAAAATGTTTCTTTCTTCTTTGACCAGAATTTGTATTACGAATATCTTTTTTTTTAAACAAGCATGTA